TTACCGGCCAGCATCTCGCACGGTGCAGGACGGCGGCCGCGCAGAGCGTTCTGCTGCACACGACCTGGCCTAGGGAACCAGAGCCCGGCTAGGGCCTAACCAGAGTCAGCCCCGCACCCCGCCCCGCACCCCCGCCAGTTACCTCCCGGCCCGCCGCTGCCAGGATGCTCGGTCGCGCGGCCGCCTCGGCTGCTCAGGCTCCGCCCACGCCACGTCACTTTCTCTCAGTCGCAACCGCGCGCGCTGCCGGAGAACTCAGCTGGTGGCGGGGGCCTCGGGTAGTTTGGCTTCCGGGCTGCGGCCTTCGCCCCGGGTTCTGAGCAGCCCCTCACCCTGGGGAGCACTCCCTAGCTCTGCATTCCGCAGTGGGGTCCCTGAGGAGGGTGACCGCAACTGTCCTCCCTGGGGAGCACTCCCTAGCTCTGCAGTCCGCAGCTGAGTTCCCCGAGGAGGGTGACCGGGTCCATCCCTCACTCTGGGGAGCACTCCCTAGCTCTGCAGTCCACGGCCGGATCCCCACAGAGAGTGACCCGACCCGGGTCCGTCCCCTACTCCATAGCTCTGCAGTCCGCAACGTGGTCCCCGCGGAGGGTGACCGGGTACATTCCCAGCCCTAGGGAGCACTCTTTAGCTAGGGCCCTGTAGGGATGCTCCACTTGAAGCCCTCACTTTCCATTTCCTTCTGGGCCTGGGGGGGCGTGGCCAAACCCAAGGGGACCCCATACAGTTCACTATACAGGTGACTCCCGACCTAGGGCCTAGTGAGCCCAGGAAGAAATATACACCCAGAACTTATCCTCCATCTGTGGAAGAAAACAAGCCTCTTTTTTTGTTCCTCCACCCCTGGCCTTTCTGGGGCCCTGTCCTGGTCATGCCAGACCCTGTTGATACCCTCTTCAGGAAGCTGCACTCTCAGGTCCTTTTTCTCTCCTTATGGAAATGGAAAGCTTTTACAATGTGATGGTAATTAAGAACTTTGGAGCAGAGAAAACTCTGAGACTAGAGATAGGTATTGGGGAGGTGAGCAGGAGTTGGTATCTCTCCTGTCCTGCCCTGGATGGAAGTCTTTGTTTACCAAAGTTTTCACCTTACTGTAACCTTTGCTGCCATGTTACATTGCTTATCACATGTACCTTTTTTGCTTAATTGTCACCTATGTGCTGTTTTGCCTTTTGTTCACATTTCTTCATGTGACTATAAAAGCCCCCCAAAACTGGAAGGGCAAAAGATCCCTTATGGATCTCCCTGGAGTAGACTCCTAGCATAAAATTAAACTCTCTCTCCTCACCTGACTTTGGCTATTGGTTTGTAGCACTCTGATTGCTCCTCCTCTACTTTTAGGTTAACCTTTCCTGCAGTAGCTCAGGGACTCAGTCTTGGGCCTCCGGACTCTATAAATATAATTCCCCCTTTCAGTTACCAAGCAGTCCGAGACAGGAACGAATATATCCTAAAGAGACGCCTGTGCGCCCCTCTTTGGCTAGCAGGCTGTTGAAAGAATGGACCCCAAGAAATTAGTGTTTCCCCAGAACCTCTGGCTGTGAGAAGAAATCACTGAACCACTAGGGATATCCAAAGGAGAAACCAGTCTCCAAGAGAAAAATTAACTCCTTGTCAGATGACCTTGCAGGACCCTGACCTTGGAGTTTAGACAACAACAGTTATGCATATCTCTTGCTTTCTATTTAAATTTTATCCTTTGTCAGAATCCCTGAAGACAGCTGAATCTCTCTCATCTCTCTTCTCAAAGTGAGAACATTGTAAAACAAATCTTTTTCTGTTTTTCACTATTAATTTGGCTCCTTGAATCAGCTTTTTGAAGACAGATGGCTGAACCTGACTTGTTGGGGGCACAGGCTGTGATCCCTAAGTCTGGTATATAACCTTCTTGTCCACAATTCAACCACACTGACTTCCTCATGGCCATTTCCCCCAGCCATCTACCCAGTGGGAAAGCACAACATCTAAAGTTTTCCCTTTCTCCCTGAGGCCTGCATGCCATGGTGGTTTTCTTCTCTCCAGCTTCAATAGCCCAGTCCCCCTCAGGCTCCTCTGCTGGATAGGTGAGTCCTACCTGCAGCTCCTGATCCAGGCTGCAAGTATTCCAGGTTGGCTAGAAATGAGGCATAACACAAAATCATAAATTTACTTGAAATGTTATGAGATTTTTTGTATGATTTTATTTTTATTTTTTTGTAACTTGATTGTGAATTTCTACAAATTGTGAATTTTTTGTAACTCAATTGTGCTACTGTGAACTTTGTACATGACAAAGTCATGTCCCACGTCGAAAGGTAGTACACACCTGTGAGTCTAGATGCTTTCAAAGTACAGATTGAAATGGCTTCAAATCTCTCCTAGGAGTCTTTCCATCCTTTTCCCTACAGGCCTGGTATGATAGCCCTCACTGGTGCTGCCCTTTCTATATCCTCTGCTTAAAACACCTTGAAAGGTCTCAGATGCGGGTACAAGGGGACACTTAAGATGAATTGTTGGGGGTATGAAGTTCATTAGAAGAGTTATTTATACCACAGATGGACAGATCAGATGGACAACAGTTTAGAGGGGACTCTGATGAGAGCTGGGGCCCCAGCAGCAGAGACAGGCAGCATAATGGGATCTCTGAAGAAGGAAAATCAAGGCAGAAGTAGGGGTCTCTTCTGATACCTTTCTGAGGATGAGGGAGGTTTCACAGCACCAGCCTGCAGCCAAGCACTCCCAGGGAAAGGGAGGGGGAATACCCCCCCCTTAATGTAAACTCACATCCCCTGGTGATAAACTCTGGCACCTGAAAGTCTACTAGCTCACTGAGAGTCTGACAATGTCTCAGTAGGGAGGCTGTCAGTATCTGTGAGAGGGGAAGGACTGTTGCAGATATTGTGGCCTGAGCAGCACCTGAATTCTAACCTTACATTCCTTTTCTGTTTTGTTTTTTTTTTCCAAAAACAGAGTCTCCCTATAGCCCCAGCTGGCCTGGAACTTACTATGTAGACCAAACTGGCCTGGATCACAGAGCTCTGCCTTGATCCACGCTGGGCCTAACATTTACAGTTTTTTAAAAAAATATTTTATTTATTATTTTTCTTTTATGCATATGAGTGTAATGCCTGCATGTATGTGAGTGCACCCTGTCATACAATGCCATGGAGGTCAGAAGAAGGCTTCAGATTCCCCTAGAACTGGAGTTAAGGATGGTTTGTAGCCACCATGTGGATGCTGGGAATCGAACCTGGGTCCTCTGTAAGAGCAGTCAGTGCTCTTAACCACTGAGCCATCTCTCCAGCCCCCAACATTTACGTTCTTATATACCTTCTAGAAGTCGAAGTCTATGTATATATTTAGGTCAGTGGAGCCTGACCCTTTACTTCTACAATCAGTTCCCCTCGCCTTTCTGGCTCAATGCTATTCAGTGGGAGCTAGTCCATATCTGTCCTTGCAACAGCTATATACAAAAACCTGCTGGCTTCCATCCAGACCTCTGGCTCTGCTGTCTCACACTCAGATACAATAGTCCATCAGCTGAACGCTATGTGTGAGACTCTGAATTAGATGTTCACCAACATCAGCATTCTTGTTCTCCAGGACTACCCTGCAGGATATATTTATCGTCATTCATCAGATAACAAAGCTGAGGCACAAGGAGGTCAAAAGGCTACCCAGGCCACTTAGAGGAAGCTGATAGAGCTGGGTTTTGAACCCAGGTATGCTGGTCCTGAAGCTTGTTGACTTCATGCTTTCTCTTTTTTTTTTTTGAGACAGGATCTCCCTGTAGCCCCAGCTGGCCTGGAACTCACTTTGTAGACCAGGCTGGCCTCCTCACAGATTCACTTTGTAGACTTGCCTGCCTCGGCCTCCCAAGTGCTGGAATTAAACGTCTGGGCCACCATACCCTATTCATGCTTTCTCTTGTGAAGTAAAAGTTCCCAGAAAAATCCTGCATCTTGATCTGAACTTCTTGCAAGGCGGGTCAACTGATTAACACTTCAGTGATTTTGGAGAGTCTGGAATGTACCAGGTCCAGAGCCTAACAGGTCAGGCTATCTTTAGCCCCTAAATAGCCACTCCTGGCCCACCTTCGTTTCTGAAGTAACTTCTTGTGACTAATAGAATGTATTATTAAAAGAAACAGTTCCCATGGGCTGGAGAGATGGCTCAGTGGTTAAGAACACTAACTGCTCTTGCAGAGGACCTGGGTTCAATCCCCAGCACCCACATGGTGGCTACTGTCCTTAACTCCAGTTCCAGGGGAATCTGAAGCCCTCTTAACCTCCGCAGCATTGCAGGACACGGGTGCACTCACATGCATACAGACAATATACTCCTACACATAAAATAAAAAATAATAAATAAATAAAAATTAAAAAAAAAAAAAAAAAGAAATGGCTGGGCATGGTGGTGCACTCCTTTAATACCAGCACTTGGGAGGCAGAGGCAGGCGGACCTTTGTGAGTTTGAGGCCAGCCTGGTCTACATAGTGAGTTCCAGGGCAGCTGGGGCTACAGGGAGACCCTGTCTCAAAAAGACCAAAAAAAAAAAAAAAGAAAAGAAAAAGAAACAGTTCCCACCAATCAAAAGGCTAAGAATGCCATCACCCATCATCTGAGGCCTACAGCTGAGATTTCTCTTTTGCTGTATCCACCAATGTATTTGAAAAGTGTCCTAATTCATTACCTTTCTTTGTTCTGCTACTATAAAAATGTCATGAAACTGCTTCCACACTGCAACATGGAATTTTTGGTAACCTGAGTCTGTATTCCTGGGCCATGGTCACTCATATTTGGCTCCAGAATAAACTATCTCTTATCCCCTTTGGGGTTAGAATTATACTTTTGCATTGTGGAACTGAGGTACCAGAGGGGCTAAAAAAAAAAAAAAAAAAAAAAAAGGTTGGAATGAATGGGGTGGCTGCAAAGACACCACACACCACAAAGGATGACTTAGGTGGGTGGGTGTCAGGATGGGCAGGACCTGGAAGTGAAGCTTCCTTTTTTTTTTTTTTTTGAGACAGGTCTCCCTGTAGCCCCAGCTAGCCTGGCACACACTATGTAAACCAGGCTGGCCTCAACCTCAGTGAAGCTTCCTTTCCTGGACTTGTATATCCTTACCTCATCCCCCTTCTCTGGACCTCCCCTTCGTTCCAGTCTGGCTAACAGTGCTTCCTACCTGGTAGAGTGAGCAGGTTCAGATCGCCCTCTAGCGGACACCAGGGTGTACCAAAGTCTGGAACCAGACTGGCCAACTCAGTGGACACTAGTTGGAGTATTGAGGCTCCTACCATCCTCACTGGCCCCAAGAGTTATACCACGAAATGCAAGCTGGAGCCCCATCCCTAGACAGGTTTCCCTACCCCAAACTGTTTCTTTTCCTTTGTCTCTTTCATCCTACCAGGGTCTGCCTTTTGGATCCTTGAGGGAAGGGAAGCCCATAGGAATCCATGGACTCTCAAAGGAGTCTTATGGTGAAGCCTGAGCAAAGGCTCAGTGCCTGAATCTTATTATGGCTCCAAACTCAGAAGGCAGGCAGATAAGATTAAGAATCCAGGCTGCTAGAGCTGGAGAGATGGCTCAGTGGTTAAGAGTACTTCCACAGGACCTGGGCTCAGTTGCCAGAAGCCACATAGCAGCTCACAACCATCTGTAACTCCAGTTCCAATGAATCCAACACCTTCTTCTGGCCTCCATGGGTGCTGCATGCATGTGGTGTACCTACATACATATATTCATGCACATGCAGATATACAAATAAAATAAATGAATCTTTAAAAGTGGGGGACAGGGCATGGAAGGGCACACCTTTAATCTGAGCACTCAGAAGGTAGAAGCAAGGCAGGCCGGATCTACATAGTAAGACTGGTTTAAAAAAAAATTCAGGGCTGAAGAGGTGGTTCGGTGGTTAAGAGTACTGGCTGCCCTTGCAGAGGATCTGGGCTCAGTTCCCAGCATCCACATGGCAACTAACAACCATCTGTAACTCCAGTTCCAGGGGAAACTGACCTCCACAGACATTGCAGGATACAGGTGCACTTACACACACACAGGCAATGCACTCATACACATAAAGTAAAATAACTTTTGGTCTTTTTTGTGTGTGTGTGTTTTTGAGACAGGGTCTCCCTGTAGTCCCAGCTGTCCTGGAACTCACTATGTAGACCAGGCTGGCCTTGAATTCACAAAGATCCGCCTGCCTCTGCCTCCCAAGTGCTGAGATTAAAGGCATGCACCACCATGCCCGGCCTGAATGCTAAATTTTTATACAAAAGTCCTTGATCTCTGGCCTGTAACTCACTATGTAGACCAGACTGGCCTTGAACTCACAGAGATCCACCTGTCTCTGCCTCCCAAGTGCTGAGATTAAAGGTGTGCACCACCACCACCACGCCTGGCTATAACTTTTTAGAAAATATTTTATATTAGTAAGAGTGCATTACCTACATGTATGTGAGAGCACCATGCCATGCAATGCTGCAGAGATCAGAAGAGGGCATCAGATTCCCCCAGAACCAGAGTTAGGACTGTTCATAGCCACCACGTGGGTGCTAGGAATCGAACCCAGATCTTCTGCAAGAGCAGTCAGTGCTCTTAACCACTGAGCCATCTCTCCAGCCCCCAATTTTTTTTTTCCATCTTTTTTGAGACAGGGTCTCCCTGTAGCCCCAGCTGGCCTTGAATTCACTGAGATCCACTTGCCTCTGCCTCCCAAGTGCTGGGATCAAAGGCGTACACCACCATGCCCGGCAATTTTTTAAAAATTAAGAGAAAAAAAAGAGTACTCATTGCTCTTGCAGAGGACCCAGGTTCAGTTGCCAGCACCTACATGATGGCTCACACCTGTCTGTAACCCCAGTCCCAGTGGATCCAGTGCCATCTTCTGCACTCAAAGGTATGGTACGAATATGGCACAGATATACTTGCAGGCAAACATAAATCTTTTTTTTTTTTAAGATGAAGAATCCAGGAAGAGTGGCTTCCTAAAACAAACTTTACGTTCAAAGGATGCTGAGAGACTGGAGGCTGAGGGAGGACAGAGGCTAGGGAGTCCAGCCAGGGTGACTTACAAGACTATCCTGCCCTATCCCCATCTCTGACGCATCATATGGGACCTGCTGATCAGGAAGAAGCAAGGTGACAATACAAGTCCACCTCCTAGAGATCTGGTTCAGGGTCTGTTTCTTGGGTTTCTGAGGGGAAATGAATTCCAGGGAAGAGAACAGGAGGGTGAAAGCAGGGTACAAGGGCTGACAATGCTGAGACCCCAGCAAGACCTGAGCAAAGTTGCAGCCCAATCACCTACCTCTCTAGCACCTTCACACTTCTACCACCTCCCTCCTCTGATGCTCAGAGTAGGCCAAGGCACCTTACAGCATCCAGAATACTTTTATTGCCAGAATTGAGGTACAGCCTGCTCAGAGCCCCAGATGGGCCCACAACTCAGAAATGGGTGTGGGGAATGCGGGAGGCAGATGCCAGGCATGTGCACAACAAGGAAAATCCATTGCCAAGAATTTAGTGGGAGAGTTGTACAGTCCTGCCCAAAAGTGGTTTTGGTATTCCAACCTAAAAGCTGGACTGAATCTCAGCCCTATGGTCAGGTGCCCTACAGTCCACTGTCCTTAAGGTAGGCCTAAGTTCTCCATCTCTGATATCACAGGGAGATCATGCAGCATCCCTGGGGCAGACAGGAAATCCCTAGTTGGGACCTTAGGCTCCTACCTCTCTCAGGGACCCAATCAAATCTCTGGGCTAATCCCTGCAGACTAAAAACCATTCAGCTGCCTGGTGGGAGAAGGGGTTAGGCAGAAGCCCCACCACTTCTCAACCCTGTGTCAGTCCAAGTGGGTGGGTGGTAAGAGAGACCCTAGAGCCAGGCATGATGGCACACACCTTTAATCGCAGCACTTGGGAGGCAGAGGCAGGTGGATCTTTGTGAGTTCAAGCAAGGCCAGCCTGGTCTACACAGTGAGTTCCAAGCCAGCACCACTACAGAGAGACCCTGTCTCAAAAAGACCAAAAAAAAAAAAAAAAAAGGAGGGGGAAACCCTAAAGAAGGGGGCAAAAGAGCCAAGATGACAAAGAAGGAAGGGCTTAAAAGAGAGAAAAATCATTTAGGAGACAGAGGCAGATGGATCTCCATGAGTTCAAGGCCAGTCTGGTCTACAGAGTGAGTTCCAGGCCAGCTAGGGATACAGGGAGACCCTGTCTCAAAAAAAAAAAAAAAAGAAGAGAGAGAGACACCTTAGAGCAGGGTGCAATATGGTGTTCAGGACAGCTCTGAGTAGCCATGATTGCTCCCTGGAACTCCTTTTCTTCATAGGTACCTAGCTATGAGGCCATGACTGGGGCCTGTTCCCCTTAACCACAGTCCTAGAGCCAAGAGAGCCAGCCTCAGTACCAGGACTCATATCAAGGGACCAGGGATCCTAGGACATGGCCCCCAGAATTGTGGGGAGAGGGGAGGGGAACCTCTGCTGCTCAGTCTAGAACCAGGATGCTGCTAAAGGCTAGAGGTAGGAGTGGAGTGAATGTCCCAGGGCCTGGGAACAATGGAGAAGCCAACAAACTGCCCCTACCTGCAGGGGGTACCAGGCTGCCTCCAGGAAGCCACACTCAGGCTGTCTAACCAGGGAGGCCAGCAGTTCCAGCCATTCATGACCAGTGTGGCAGGCCTACCTGCGGCCGTTATGTGGGAAGATCATCTGAGAGTCACTCTAGAACCTTCAGGGGCAGGGACCTCAGCTCAGAAACATCCCTCATAGGAAGGTTAGGGCCCAGTGGGTGAGAGTGGAAAGCTCACAGGGGTAGGAGGACTGCATGGCCCCTGAGTTGGGGACTGGGGCCCAGAGCCAACCAGTCTACCCGACAAGCCAGTTTGAGTCACAGCAGTTCCAGCAGCAGCAGCATTCCCATCAGATGCCCCTCGAGTTCACACTTATTTCTTCCTCCTTCACCATCACATAGGAAAGATAAGAAATAGCACTTCCTCTGAGGCAGCTGCCTCACAGCCCAAGACCTAGGACCTTGAATCATGGTCACAAACTTTGCTAAGCTTGTTAGGCTACGACAGGCTCAGGGGCCAAGAGAAGTTCCATGGTCCAGCTATTCAGCAGCCCTGTCTGGCACAAGAATCAGGGTCCAAGAAGCACACTTTTCAGATAGGCCAGGGTAGTGGTGTTGGCTAACATTGCAATGTGTTCATTGCCTGGCAGCTCTTGCAATGTTATTTTATGTGCTTGGCGGTTGTGCCAGACCTGGCACTGCAGGACGCTCTCCAAGTTCACAGTGCCGTCACCATCACCAAAGCAGATTTTTGGGTCGCGATCGGGGAAGCCCTCGTAGTAGAAGGAATCTGGTGTGGGGACACCAGTACCATAAAGACAGTGTAGATGCACACCAGGTGGCATCATGGCTTCAACCAGCCCTTCTGTGTCCTGCCGCATGAGCCAGCCATCTTCAAAGCCAATGTCCTGGAAGAACTGGCGATAGTCCTGCAGTGTGTAGTTGGTCCTGGATGTGTGCACAAATACCTTTTCAGATGACCAGGTGTGGTTGTAAGGCAGTAGCCAGCTGGTGGAGACAGCAGAACGCTGCTGCTCCCGGATCTTCAGCGGCCCAATAACAGGGATGCGATTGTTGTCTCCTGCAGAGAGAGGACTCTGATCAGCCTGTGCTGAGGGAGGCAAGCTGGTTGGGCAGCATGTTCAGCATCAGACCCCCTGCTGGACCCCAGCCAGTGACTCTATCAACATTCAAGAATCATTAGGCCGCCAGGCATGGCCAAAAAAAAAAAAAAAACTTATATAGATTAGATGGCTCAGGCAGAGGATCTGGGCCAGGTTCAATTCCTAGCACCCACATGGCGCTAACAATCATTTGTAACCCCAGTTCCAGGGGATCCAAACCCCTCTTCTGACCTCTGTGGGCACTGTACAACATGGGTGCACTTGCATGCAGGTATAACACTCATACACATAAAATAAAAATAATAAAATTTTTTTTTTTGGTCTTTTTGAGACAGGGTCTCCCTGTAGCCCCAGCTGTCCTGGAACTCACAAAGAGATCTGCCTGCCTCTGCCTCCCAAGTGCTGGGATTAAAGGCCTGCACCACCATGCCCAGCATAATAAATTATTTATTTATTTATTTATTTATTTTTGGTCTTTGAGACAGGGTCTCCCTGTAGCCCCAGCTGTCCTAGAACTCACTATGTAGACCAGGCTGGCCTTGAACTCACAGAGATCCGCCTGCCTCTGCCTCCCAAGTGCTAGGACTACAGGCATGCGCCACCATGACTGGCTAATAAAATATTTTTTAAAATATTTTATTATTTTTGTGTGTATGTGTGTATTGCCTGCACGTAGGTAAGTGCACCCGTGTCGTGCAATGCCTACGGAGGACAGAAGAGTCTGTCAGAGCCCCTGGAACTGGAGTTACAGACAGTTGTTAGCTGCCATGTGGGTGCTGGGATTTGAACCCGGATCTTCTGCAAGAACAGCCAATGTTCTTAACTGCTGAGCAGTGTGTGTGTGTGTGTGTGTCTGTGTGTGTGTGTATGTTGTGAGGGGGTGCACATGTGACAAAGTATGGGGGGGTCAGAGGACAACTTTGTAGAGTTGGTTCTCTCCACTTGTATGTGGGGTTTGGGGACTGAACTCAATCCCCAGATTGGGTTGTTGGTTGTTGGGCTGTACAGCAAGCTCCTTTACCTGCGGAACCATCTCACTGGGCCAAAAAACATGGATATTTGTAAAAACATAAAGGGTGCTGGCCTAGCATGACATCACAGAAGGAGAGAGGGAGGCATTCCTGGGAATAGCCACCCATGTGGGGCAAAGGTGGTCTTACCTGAGGCTAGGACACGTAGGGTCTTCGCCACACCCCCCCAGGGCGCGCCCAGAGACACGAAGGCATGGATATACTTGTCCTTCCAGGCTTGTGGTTGCCGCTGCAGAAAGTAGAGCGTGTACATGTTGCCCATACTATGGGCAACCAGCACCACAGGGCCCCCATACAGCTGGTACATCTCTTCGATCATCTCTCGGAGGGCCAGGAAGTAAGGCCCGTTTTCATCTGCAGGCCAGAGCCAGGCAGGGGTCAGGTAGGAAAGGTCCTGGGGCCTGAACTGTTGACCAATCTTCGGGTCAGACCCAGGACTAGGGGCTTCAGAGAGTGTCCTAAAGTAGGACAGAATGGTTCCCCAAGGCGCTCATGAAGAGAGGCCAAAGGGGCTCCTTCCCCACCTCGGGGACTCAGGGGTCCAGAGGTCCTGGGGTGAGGCACAGGGAAGGACAGGGCAAGACTAATCAGAGCTGGTAGCTGTGGCCACTGGACTAGATGCCAGAGGCCCAGGAGTAGGGAGAGTGGCCAAGACTGCCTTGTCCCTGTCTCCCAAGCCCTAAGGGAAGAAATAGGAGTGGCTTCTTACTTGGGGCTCGGCGCCAGTCATAGGGGGCTCCTCGAACATCTTCACCCCGTGTGTAGCCCCAGCCCACAAGGCTCTCCACCATAGTGTGGAAATAGGAACCTACAGACAGAAATGCATAGAATTACAGAAGGTATAGCCTGTGTCAGCCACCCACAGCACAGCCCAGGAACAGTGACATCTGTCTCCTGGTGGAGGGCTATACGCTCTGTAACTACACTGATCACAAACAGCTCACAGGCTATGCCTTTAAACCAATGCAATGCTTCCCATACTCTAGGAGTCCAACAGAGCCCCCAGAATAGCCCCCAGCATATCCCCTGGAGGTCCTAAGCAAGAACTACATACCCATATTACTTTTGCTGGGGTCCAAGAACTCCAGTGAGAAGGTTTCCCCAAAGCCAGGGACACGTACGTCCACACCATCAGGAAACTGAGTAACCCGAGATGTTCTGTTGTAAACCAGCCTGTCAGGAGAGGATAATGAGCTGGTGACCCAAAAGTTCCAGTGAGCATAGTGTGTCCCAATACTGCCCTGTGACCTTAGACATACTCCCTTCTCACCTCCAGGTTTGGTCAGAGTGTAAAGATGAGTAACAAAGCAGGTTTATGAAACACAGATCATAGCCAGACATGGACTTGGAAGAGGTAGAGGCACGAGGATCAGTTAATCAAGGTCATCCTCAGCTACATATGAGTTCAGCCAATCTCAAACAAACAAATAAACAAACAAAACCCCACAAAGTTCAGAGATCAGAATAGCCAAAGTCAATTGAGGACTCTACCATGGCTTACTCCAAAGACTGATCACAAGGACCCCTGTGAAGGCAAATTCCATTCTTCCCAGTGTCACCTACACTAGAATGATGGTATTGGTCTAGGCAGAAAGAAGAACCAGCTCTAGTGTGTGCTACCATACCTGGCTTTAGCAGCTTCTAACTCAAGATATTATCATCTCATAGCTTTGATGGATGTAGTGCAAAGCAGAGCCTCAGGGCAGAGTACATGGCTGTTCTACCCTGCCTCCCAGGTCAGGTGTCTGCAAGTCCTGAAAACGTGATAGGGATTGGCTGGGGGTAGGGGTAGGGCACAGCAGAAAAGCCCTATGCCAGGCAAGGAGCATTGCTATGGCCTTGAATGGCACCAGAGGCGAATATGTCCAAGAAAAGCTGAAGTTCTTGGTGCTCCCAAGTCCTCCTCCCCTTAAAGATCAGTCACAGAAAGCTGACAGAATCCCCAACATTGATCCAAGTAATAGGGCCTAGGGGTCCACTCTCTCAAACAGCCACCCAGCAAAGCGTAGAAAATTGTTCTGGAAAGCCAAAGCAGGTCTGAGATAGATGAGAATCTAAGCAAGTCAGAGGAGCAACAAAGACAGGAAAACCCCTGTCAGTATCAGCCCTGCACCTCCAACTGGCAGTCCCTGAGGTCATGTGTTTCTAGTATGAAAACAGAAATGTAGATCAACAGCCCAGAAATAACTCTGGTTACACACCAATAAGAAAGTCAACAAAGTAGGCAGCATAAACAACAGGGAAGGGCTGAGTACCCAGAGAACTGGCTAGCAGGTCTCTGACAAAAGCTTTTAATTAGCTCATTTATTGGGCATCAACTATGTTCTTGGTTCTATTGCTCTAAAGAAAAACCAGAGGCACCATCTGCCTTTAGATGATTCTGTCTGGGAGGGGCCCTTAGAGTAACATAACTCATGGTTTGAATTCTGATTCTGTCATTTATTAGCTGAGTGACCACAGACACTTCTGTAACTTCTTTGAGACTTCCTTTTCTTTAAGTAAACTTGTTTTAAGTAAACTTGTTTTGTTTTGTGGTGTTGGAGAGCAAACTCAGGGCCATGTGTAAGATACAGCAAGTGCTTTACGCCTGAGCTACACCCCCATTTCCTGTAAAACAGATTTAAACACAGCACTGTTCAAAGGAGTGCTGTAGGAATAAATGAATTACGTCATTTGTCGATTGTATAATTGTGTGAACGTCAGAGTTACACTAGTACAAATCCAGATGGTGTAATGGTGTAAGTCATTCAATGTGCTCTTAATGCAATCAAAAAACTCAGTAAACAGAGGGGCTGAAGAGATGGCTCAATGGTTAAGAGCACTGACTGCTCTTGCAGAGAACTCGGTTTGATTCCCAGCACCCACATGGTGGCTAACAGGGCTGTAACTCTGGTTCCAGGGATCTTCTGGCCTCCAAGGGCACTGCACAACCCAGATGCACCTACCTACATGCAGGCAATACACTCATACACATAAAGTAAAACTAATAAATGAAATTAAAATTTAAAAAACTCAGTAAACAGGAGAAGTAAGGCATAGTGGGGCATACTTGTGATCACAGCACTCAAGAGGCAGAGGGAGATTGTCAGTTCCAGATCAGCCTGGGCTACACAGGGAATTCAAGACCATCCTGAGCTACATAGAAAGACCCTGTCCTAAAACATTTTTTATATTAGAGAGAAGGGGGGAGCACTTAGTATGAGGCTGCTGTGGTGTTATACAGCAGTAATACAGTTAAATGTTTTATTTTTGCTTTGAGACAGGGTTATAGCCCTGTCTATATAGCCCAGTGAGCCTCTACCTCAAAATCTTCCTTTTTCAGTCTCCCAGTTAACCTTCCTCAAGCTGAGTGATGAGGATACAGCATGCTCAAGTAAACATTTTTTTTATAAATAGAGGTCATTACAAAATCATAAAAAACATAGTATATAGCCGGGTGTGGTGGTGCACACCTTTAATCCCAGCACTCGGGAGGCAGAGGCAGGCAGATCTCTGTGAGTTCAAGGCCAGCCTGGTCTACATAGTGAGTTCTAGGACAGCTGGGGCTACAGGGAGACCCTGTCTCAAAAAGACCAAAAAAAAAAACCAAAAACCATAGTATATATATATTTTTTTAAATGAGGCCAGGCATGGTGGTGCTCACCTTTGATCCCAGCACTCAGGAGGCAGAGGCAGGCAGATCTCTGTGAGTACCAGGCTAGCTTGGTCTACATAGCAAGTTCCAGCCCAGCCAAGGCTGCATAGTGAGACCCTGTCTGAGACCCTGTCTCAAAAACAAAACAAAACAAAAAACATTTTTAAAATGAAGCAAGTGGTCAGGGCATGGTAGCACATGCCTTTAATCCCAACATTCAGGAGGCAGAAGCAGGCAGATCTTTGTGAGTTCAAGTCTAGCCTGATCCACATAACAAGTTCCAGGCCAGACAGGGCTACCCAGTGAAACTGACTCAAAGGGGGAAAAAAAGTATAGTATAGTAAATACCTAAGTGAGAAACACACTTATTCATAGTATGGAGCATTATACGCTGAGCATTCTCACCAGCATCACGCTGGTGATATAACCTTTCCCTGCTAGATTAGATGACTAGAGAAGCACTGGACCATAGGAATTTTTCAGTTTCATTATCTTGCTTTTTTATTTATTTTTTTCAGGGCTACAGATTAAACCTAGGGCCTTTTTAAATGTGTATGTGTGAGTATATGCAATGTGTACAGCAAGCACGCTTAACTGCTGAGCTACCTCTCTAGCCCTGAGTCTGGGGCCTTATAGAGCAGGCCCTTAGCTTTTCCAACATACTATAAGGGACCACCTCTACCTTCATATAAACTTAAACTGTCCTCCCTTTTTATTTGTGTTTGTTGTTGTTGCTATTTTGTTTTCTTTTAGATACTGTCTTACTATGTAACCCAGGCTGGCCTAGAACTTGCTATGTAGACCAGGCTGACCTAAAACTCTGGGTGATCTTCTGCTTCTATCTCCAAAGTGGTGGGATTACAGGTGTATGCTACCACGTCTGGCTAATCTGTCCTTGACAAAATGTTATTATGGTTGGGCCTGGTGGTATGGTTGGGCCTATAATCACAGCTATTCCAGAGGGTAAGGCAGGAAGACTGGAAGTTCAAGGCCAGCCTGGTAAGTTGGCTAGACCTTGTCTCAAAATTAAAGAAAAAAAAGGCTTTTGTTTTTTTTAAAAATCACATTTCTTATGTATGTATCTCTATATGTCCTTTGTATGTTACAGTGCATGTGTGGAGGTCAGAGGACAACTTGCATGAGTCAGTTCTCTCCTTTCAGCATGTGTGCCCCAGGGATCAAACTCAGGTCATCAGGCTTGGTGGCAAGTGCCTTTACCTGCTGTTTTTTGTTGTGTTTTGCTTTTAGAGGCTATGGGTATACCTCGATAGTAGAGCATCTGTCTGGCATGCTCAAATCCCTGGGTTGGGGCTGGCAAGATGGCTCAGTGGGTAAAAGTACTTGCTGAACAATCCTGATGACCTGACTTTGAGCCCTGAGACTCACATAAAAACCCAGATGCAGTGGTACACCACTATAATCCCAGGACTTCCGAGGTGAGATGGGAGGGCCAGACAGGAGACTTGGCAGGAAGCTGGTGGGCTAGCTAGCCTGGAGTATACAGGGCAATAACAGAAACAGGAGGCCCTGCCTCAACAGAGCAGAAGACAAGAACTGATTTCCAAAAGTTGTCCTCTGACCTCAGCATACTCACTGTGACACACACACTGTGGCTCAAGTGTTGTGTGCACACACACTCAAATAATAACTACACACCAAAATATCCCTGAGCTCAATCCATAGTTCTGTAAAAAGGGATATTATACAGCATATGACTATTTAAAATATACAGTTCCACGGGGCTGGAGAGATGGCTCAGTGGTTAAGAACATTGGTTGTTCTTGCAGAAGACCCAGGTTCAAATCCTAGGACCCACATGGCAGCTAACAACTGTCCGAAACTCCAGTCCCAGGGAATCCGACAGCCTCTTCTGACCTCTGAGAGCATTGCACGACACAGGTGCACTTACCTACATGCAGGCAATACATGCATACACATAAAATAAAAATTAAAAAAAAAATTATATATATATACATACACACACACAGTACCTGCTGGAGAAGGGGGTAATAGGGAAAAGGGAGGTAGGTTAACTGAAATTAAGGACGTATGAAAAACCCTTATGGAACCTCACTACTTTGTAAGCTAATTAAAAGATATAATTAAGGCCAAGCATGGTGGTATAGGCCTTTAATCCCAGCACTCAGGCGGTATGGGGAGACAGATCTCTGTGAGATGAAGGCCAGCCTGGTCTACATAGCAAGTTCTAGGCCAACTGGGGCTACAGTGAGACCCTGTCTCAAAAAGACAAAAAAAAAAAAAAAAATGTGTCTATGTATGTTTATGTGTGTATTTAAGTAAAAAAAGAGGAGTTTGAACACAGGTGTCTTGCATGGGTGACAATGCTTCCCCTAGAAGACATGGGTTATTATATTTGTTATTGTTGTTATTAAAGATTTTACTTTTTGCCTGGCATGGTGGTGCTCACCTTTAATTCCAGCACTAGGGAGGCAGAGGCAGGTGAATCTGTGAGTTCAAGGCCAGCCTGGTCTACATACTGAGTTCCAAGCCAGCTGGAGATACAGAGAGATCCTGTCTCAAAAAGACAAAAAAAAAAAAGATGAGACAGCCATGGTGGTACTCGCCTTTAATCCCAGCACTTGGGAGGCAGAGGCAGGGGAATCTGTGAGTTCAAGCTTAGCCTGGTCTACATAGTGAGTTCCAGGTCAACTGGGGCTACAGGGAAACACTGTCTCAAAAGGACCAAAAAAAAAAAAAAAAGATGTGCCCTTAGGTGCAATAGCCACATGAAGTTAGAGGTAACAAACTGCTTTCTGAGGCCTGCTCCACAGAAGGAAATTCATGCCTGATACTAGAAACTTTGGGAAGTCATAGGTCCTAGAGGGGAACTTACTACTGTTGTTTTGCTAAATGGACAAGTGGCTTCTAAATAACCTAAATATTTAGAAGCTCTCAACCTTGGCCAGAGAAACGTCTGTTGTGGGCAGCAGTTAATGCAGAGACTCATAACTGGCCAAAGTGCTGAGAATAAGTGACTACTGAGTACTCAGCCCTAAATGAGACATCTGTATCAACCCCCATCCTCACAAGGCTCAGGGCATATCGAGGAAGCAGGGAGGAAGAAGCATAAGAGTCAGAGGATGGGGAGGAGTGCTGTGAAGCTCAGTCTTCTGAACATGGTGTAACTGTGGCACTCATGAACTCACGGTAGCTATAATTACCTACACAAGATCAGGCCACCAAGGTCAGTCAACATTCCAAAAGGCAGCACTGACCGGACTTAGTGAGTTACAAAAAAAAGAGAGACAGGGCAAGAAGGATGGCTCAGCAGATAAAGGTGCGTATTGCCAAGCCCAAGGATCTGAGTTTGATCCATGGGGAACAATTCCATGACCCAAGTCAGCTCAAATTTGTAGCACTCCTCCCGTCTCAACCTACTGAATGTTGGTATTACAGATGTGTACCACCACACCCAATTTGCTTCTAGTTTATCAAGGTATTTATATTCAGTGACTGATGAGTTTTGGATAGGTTAATTCATTAACATAAAAAGTGAGATGGAGGGCTGGAGAGATGGCTCAGTGGTTAACAGCACTGACTGTTCCTGCAGAAGACCCAGGTTCGAATCTCAGCACCTACATGGTGGTTAACAACCATCTGTAACTCTGGTTCCAGGGGATCCATGACCTCTTGTCCTCCTCAGGCATTGCAAGAGACAGGTACACTTACACACATGCAGGCAATACACTCATACACATAAAATAAAAATAAATTTAAAAAAATTTTTTTTAAGTGAGATAGCTTAGCAGATAAAGGTACTTGCTGCCAAATCTGATAACCAGAGTTCAATCTCCTAGACTAACATGGCAGAAGAAGCAAATTGTCCTCTGACCTACACACACACACACAGAGACCTACACATGCCTTTAACTGCAGTACTCAGGAGGCAGAGGCAGGTGAATCTCTGTGAGTCTGAAGTCAGCCTGGTCTACATAGAGAGTTCCAGGCCAGCCAGGGCTGCATAGTGAGACCCTGTCCCTCCTTTCCTCCTCCCAAAAAGTGAGATGGTAGGGGCATAAAATGGATAGTTTGTAAATGTTCTTTAATTTTTTTGATATATTATTTATTTTTATTTTTTGTGTATGAGTGTATTGCTTGCATATGCACACCCATGTTGTGGTGCAATGTTCATAGAGGTCAAAAGAGGGCATCAGATTCCCCTGGAACTGGAGTTATGGATGATTGTTCGCTGCCATGTGGGTTCTAGGAATCAAACCTAGGTCCTCTTTAAGAGCAGCCAGTGCTCTTAACCACTAAGCCACCTCTCCAGCCCTGGCTTGTAACTATTTCACTAAGGTAGGAATGGAAAATTTTTGATGCATCACACTGCTGGTAATAAAATTTACTTTATAACTGAAAGAAAATTAAACTATATAGTGTCTATATTGAATTTGGGGAAACATAGTTCCTTGCCAACATAATTTGGTGCTTGGTGAGGGTTAAAGAAAACATGCATGGAGCCTGGAGTAAACAATGGCAGGGGAGACTCCACAGAGGAAGTAGGGTCAGGTTTTATTTGGGAAAGGGTAGTTTTTAAAGACAGGGTATCGATATGCAGGCTCCAATCCTCCTTCCTCAGCTTCCCACAGTAGTGAAATAGCAGGCATGTACCACCAGCAAAAGTCTGGGTTTTAAAAAGTGAACAGGAGGGAATTTATCATGTGAAGAGTATAGAATTAGATTTCATGTGGAAAGAACAGCAAAGTGCAAAGACATGGGTATATCCACAGGAAGAGCAAGCAACTGGAGAGGCAGGTGTGGTCAGGACCTAGGGACAGGAAGAGAGGAGCCATGGTTGAGGATACGGACCAACCACAGAAACTCTAAGAGCCTGAAGGCTGAACTTGGAGAAGGGAGAACAGCAGGAAGAGCAAAAAAGTTATGCTTTGAGGAGAGCAGAGCTAGTGACAACCAGACCAGACCAGACCAGATCAAGGGCTACAGAGAGGTCACTAACTCTGAAGTGTACTGAGGGAGGGATGAGAAGGGCATGGCCTCTGAAGGCCTCTCCAGGCCTCATAGGTGAGTGGTACCCATCTGTGTGTGCCAGCCCCACCTGATATTGTCAATCCAGCAATCAATGATGACAGGCAGAAGCAGTTCAAGGTTCAGCCAGAGTGTGAAGTAGCTGTCCGTCCTCTTGGAGCAAAGGTAGTGTACAACCTTTGGCTTGTCCAGCTTTGCTTCCAGCTGGTTACCCAAGTCACCAGGCACTACAGGGGGAAAAAGACATGTGTAGGCTCTGGGTCTGGCAAGCTAGAGACCTCTAAGAACCTTGCAGTCTACAGAAGCTGCCCCCCTCCCCCACAAGATAGTGACACCATAGCAGCCCTTTGCAATCCCAACCTATAAGTGAAAACAGTGCCAGGAGCAGGAAATTCAAAAATAGGGGAGCCTGACACAGAGGCCAGGACATCTTCATTCAGGTAAGCTGCTACTAGGCTGGCAGGGAAGTGCACATCTGTAATTCCAGCCCTTGGGAGCCTGAAGCAGGAGGATCAAGCGAGTCATGGCTCAGCTTCAGCTATATAATGAGATTCTCTCTCAAAACAAACAAGCTGCACATGGTGATGCAAGCCTTTAATTCCATTACATGGAGGCTGCAGGCAGGTGGATCTCTGTGAGATCAAGGCCAGCCTGGTCTACATAGGGAGTTAGGCAGCTGAGACTACAGGGAGATCCTGTCTTTAAAAGACCAAACAAACAAACAAGTGATGCATGGCCATCACTCGGGAGGTAGAGGCAGAAGGATCAGAAATTCAAGGTAATCTTTAGCTACATAACTAATTCTAGGCTAGCCTGGGCTATGTGAGACCTAGTTTCAGAGAGGGCTGGGAGGGCTGCTACTACCACATTGGACCATATTAGTAGGGAAAAAAAAAAAGTCTGCCAGCATATACCTTACCGTAGGGGTTTGGAAGAGACCTGACATGTTTGGGGGGCGGTTCCCAACACTCTCCCAACTCCAGATAAAAATAAACTCTCACACCTTTAATCCCAGCACTAGGGAGACAGAGGCAGGTGGATCTCTGTGAGTTCAAGACCAGCCTGGGACACCTGGGGCTACAGGGAGACCCTGTCTCAAAAAGACAAAAAAAAAATCTCCCTAAGATGTTCACTAGAACTTCCTCATGGGGATTCAGAAAAGAGTTCAGGCCAAAGTCACTTCCCCAAGAGAGGCTTCATTTCCTTATCTGAGATCTCAGCCTGAATCACCCTCTTCAGATACAGAAGGTTTGCAGGATTAACAGTCTAGATGAGTGTGCTAACCAGGCGGAGACTTGAGGCCCTTGAATTTTCCAAAATCTGCAGCGTTTGGGTTTGTGCTACCAGACTAAAAAGAAAAGCAGAGCAAGCCTTGTCTGCCTTGGAGCAGTGGAGCATAAGAAATATTGCTGAGCCACAGTAACAGCCAAAAATTAAATCCAGAGGAGGTGTTTTTGTTTGTTTTTCCTTTTTTTTTTTTCTTTTTTCTTTTTTGAGACAGGGTCTCAAAGGTCTCAAACTATACTCCTCTAGCCTCTACTTCCCAAACGCTGGGCTCACAGGCCAAGAACCAAAACACAGATAAGATAAACTTAAAGAGGTACCTAACAGCCTACCAGGGCCCTGGGGTCTTGCTAAGGCCAGTAAAATTCCAGAGGATAGCTCATGTGGAAGGCCAGGCATAGCTGCCAGCTTGTGCTGCAGATGGCTGATCAGCCTCAACTTGCCATTCTAACCTCAGGTCAGGCTATATGTAACCATATTCCAAGGAAGACTACACACAGACCCTAGGGCCCAGGTGACACCCAAGCCCACACCCACAGCTTCATTTCCTAGCATTCGAAGTTTTATGATCTATTTATTCCCATTAAATTTGCAGGCCACACCTACCTCCTACATGATACATTCTGGACAGTCACATTCTGGACAGTCACAAAAACAACCCCATTTAAGATCCAAGCTATCACTTGGCTTTCCTGGGCAGTGGCTGTGAACCCAGCACAGCACAAGGCATGCCCTTGCCTGAGCACTGTCCTAGTAGCTTCAGAATGTCATGGGAAGTAGGTGTGGCCTCTGCCTCCACCTCTCTTCATGCCATGGGTGGTGCTGAAGCAGGGAGGCCCCAGCATTATAGCCTGTAGATGACATGCCAGAGGGCTGGATATGTGAACTGGTCACTATCTCCATCTGAGGGAAAATGGATAAAAGAGGAAGCTACCAGATCTGCTTTGCACAGACACCCCTTGCCCTGGTCAAGCTCCTCTAAAAATAGCAATGGCCACTTCCTGAGACCCTTTGTGCCTGGAACTAAGACAAGCTCTATGGGTCTTTCACCTCAAATAGCACCAAGAAGTGACATCTTTATCCTCATTTTAAAATTTTTATTACTCAGGCGTGGTGGCACACACCTTTAATCCCAGCACTTGGGAGGCAGAGGCAGGCAGATCTCTGTGAGTTCAAGCCCAGCTGGGGCTACAGGCGGACCCTGTCTCAAAAAGACAAAAAAAAAAAAAAAAAAAAAAAATTACATTTACTTATTTAGTGGGGGAGGGGAGGAGGAAGGACACACCATGGCTTGTGCATGGAGGTCAGAGGATAACTAGCAGGGATCAGGTTAGGATTCCAGCTGTTCAGATCCTTCTGGGGTCTGAGGCTCCTCTGCTATGATTTAGGATAACCAAGACTGAATGGATAAGTGAGTGCAGTTAGCACCATCCAAGCAAAAATGTGGTAAACATGTATGTGGCCACAGACTGCATGCATCCCAATGCCACAATGCCGCATCCCTCATTCTTAGAACTCCTAGGCCTTCATGTGACTTCTGGCCCCCAGGGTAAAGTCCAGATGACCCAGTAAGTCACAAGATCCACACAATCCACGCCTCCCACCTTCTACCCCCTGCCCCATTCCAGCTAGCCTGGATCCCTCTGCCAAGCTTAGCTCCAGCATACTCCAGGATGGTATCCACTCATCCAGGCTGGCTGAGATTCTTTGTGCTTGCCCAGCACAACCTCATCTCTAAAGGCCATTGTTAGTACTATCGTGGAAGCTTGGGCAAGGAAGGGCCAGGTGTATACAAATCTCAAAGCAAACAAAGCTGGACATAGTGACACACTCCTTTAATCCCAGCACTTGGAAGGCAGATACAAGTGGATCTCTGTGAGTTCAAGGTCAGCCTGGTCTATATAGGTCAGTTAGGGCTACATAGTGAGACCAGGTCTCAAAAACAAAGTGAACCTAGGTCCAGAATCCCCTAGATCATTTCCTGACCCAAAAAGCCTACTGGGACCTTTGTGGACCACTTGCCTGTCAATCTTTCTGCAATTTGCATCATCCCTATTAAAACATTCCCAACAGAAAGAGTGTGTTTGGTAAGTCATGCTCCAGCAGACCTGGTATATAACATATGCCTTGGTGTGCCTCGGCTCCTGGGAGCCCTAGCTGGCCACCAACACACCAGTTCCAGATGGGGCTGGAAAAGACACCTAAGACTCCCTAGATAGAGATCTCATCCTGGCGGTCAGCACATGGCAACTGTTGACTGCTCAGTTGCCAGGTCTGGGACCAAAGAGTGAGTGGGCAGGGGATGCCACCTGAGTCCAATATAGCCTAGAGCATCTAGGTCTAGCAGGAGAGAGTAGAGAGGCATGCTCCTTGATTCCCTCACACCTGTTTATGCTGTTGTCCCAATCCATTCCCCAGTCTTCCCTACCCTTAGCAATCCTGTTTCTGTTAGGCCTTCTCCCCAAGGGTTAAGGCTATCCATTTGATAAATTGAGAGCAAAGGGAAATGAGCTTGGTGGCCAGCAAGGCTAACAATGCTTTCCTTAAAGGATTAGCTACCAGTAACGCCTTCAGAAATATAGGAGGGAGGATGGTGATGCCTCCTAGGCAGGCTCAGACCAATTCTGAGTCAACCTTGCCAAAGCCCTCGAGCCCTCGGGAGTGAGGTGGAATTGCCTCAGTCTTTCCAGCTCAGAAATGGGGACATGGTGAGACAAGGTTTGGAGAGGGTGCAGGCAGGCGGGTGGAGTGGAAAACTGGACTAGATATCTCGTTCCCATTTTTTAGAGGGGGCAGGTGGTGGAAGGCTGACCACACCCAGGCCCAGTATGACAGGAGGTGGGCTAACCGACCCAGGTTGGACCCCAAAATGCCTCGGTTTCGTGCTAAAAACAGATGCACACCGAGAAGTCGACCTACCAACCCTGCCCACACTCAGTCCTTCAAGACCCACCCCAACACCCACCCAACACGCGTCTCACCCAGCACCACCGGGGGGTGACGTTTGGCTGGGAGCACCGGCTCCACCAACAGCATGAGCAGAAGCAGAAGGAACAGGGGGCCACTCCGGAGCAGGGTCGCGCGAGAGGTGCGGAGATCCATGGCGCCCGACCGTGGCAGCAGGTCGGCTGCAGCGTTCAGGGATCTAGCGTAGGCCGGGGGCCGGGGCGCCGGGCTTAACCCCACCGCTCGCAGCCACCCAGCCAATTAGGACCCGCCTCTTGCTAGCGCTCAGCCAATTGGAACTCGCCGCCAGGAGCGGCCCTGCTACCCTAGCTCACCACCCAGTCCATGTTCACCCCCGGGCCTGCTGCCTAGACCGTGCTGAGAGCCGAGCTCATCGAACGACCGCTGGCGCGCCACCTGGCTCCCAGCTATCTATCATCCTACTACTAGGCATCCCCAGCCCTCGGCGGCTGAATGGCCCACACAGACTCTGGGCCCCGAAGTCCACTCGTGTAGCCCTCACTCCTGATTCCTAGCGCCCCCCTCACCGGGAAGACCGGAAACAAGTGGGGCCAAAAGGAGTCCATCGCTTGCCGTGGCTGAGCGACCCCTGTCCCAGCAAGAGAGGAAGTGAGTCCTGGACAGGCAGTTGTTTCTTGGACTTTGATGACTAGCAGCTGACCAGAGCTTTACGCGAACCCTCACACTGGTATCCCCAGGGGCATCTAGGTTCAACCCCCCGTGTCCAGGGAGCCTTCACTGGCTGTCTTGGGGGAAGAAATGCAGATAGGACCCAGGAAACCAGATCAGGGAGAAGCTAGGTCAGCAGGTGAGGGGTCTGTCACTCCACTTTGGGATGTGAGAGCATGGAGCTGAGTCAGTTTGGGAGTAGAGTTGGAAGTAGGCTTAGTCCTGAACCTGAGCCTGCAGAGTTGGCCAGAGCATCAGGATCCTGTATTTGCACTCTACTTCTCCTTGCAAATTTGGGGAGACAGGAAGGGCACAAGACTTGAGCCAGGAGCTGAGGGTGAACAGAGTGGGCAAAGGCTCAACACTGATAATATGCCAACAGAGCAGGAACTGTGGGGTAAAGAGATTAGTGTGCTTGAGCAATAACCCTCCACACACTTCCTCCAGAAGGTCAGTTACACCTGTGGGACACTGCCTGGTCCCAAGACCTCTGTCCTACCTCTTCCTTCCCTCTTCTTGATAAACAGCCGACCCCATGATAAAGCTGATCATGATCTTGGCCAAGCTATTCTGACTTTTTATAGTAAAATGGGCAGTTTTAAGGCCTACTAACCCCTACCTTGGGCCCTACCTTTATCTCTGGCATCAACAGAGAATTGCTACAGACTGATCTGGTGAAGGCCCAGAAAGGGAGATAGGGACTCTTCTGCCAAGGTTAGAAACAGGCAGAAATTCAGAACTGAGAGGGAGAGGAGAGAGACTAGGACTTAGCCTTAGACTTTGGCTAATCTGAACATCTTGCTAAACTAACAGTTTCAGGTGACCCTGGAAGAGTGGCCCTGCTGTCAGCTAGGGTCCACTGGCACACCACCTCCCCAAGCCCTGTATGCATTAGGAGCCACAATTACTGGGGAAGGGATGGCACAGCCTGGTTAGCAATGACCTTTACTGGTACTTCGGTCAAGGGTCAGAAGGACAAAGTCCCCTACTCTTCCTTTTTTTTTTTTTTTTTAAATACAGGGTCTCCCTGTAGCCCCAGCTGGCCTGGAACTGGCTATGTAGACCAGGCTGGCCTTGAATTCACAGAGATCCACCTGCCTCTGGCTCCTGAGTGCTGAGATTAAAACCATGTACCACCATGCCCTGTCTCTGTCCCCTTCTTAAGACAAGGGCTCACTATGTAACCCAAGGTAGCCTCTAACTGGTGAGTCTCCTGACTCAGTCTCCCCAGTGTTGGTATATGTGCAAGCACAACCAGGACCAAGCACACACACACCCTTTCCATAATGACTCTGCTATCTCCCCAGTCCCCTCTCTACAGACTTGGGTTATCTTTGGTTCTGGATGATTTTCTACTTCTCTAACCCACAACCTAGGTTATTCCTTTGTCTTGCCAGCTTTGCTTGTATGAAGACAAACTACCCTTATCTCCACAGTAGCTTCATCACTGGTGTCCCAGTTTAGTCCCTTATTCCCCTTAGTTTGTTATCTATATGCCAGCTAGCTCCATGAATCATTAATTCATCTCTCAACACTCTTCCTTTGACAACCCTGCCATGGTATCCCTCCCACTCACAAAGGATGAGGACTCTCCATTTTTTTCCAGCTCCTTCATCTCTAGCCCCTGACTTCCTTGCTACTTAGAACAAGATCTTATTATCCCTTAGGACCTCTGTGCTTGCTACAGTGACATCACCCTGTTTGGGGGAGGACTGAGCTCTTTGAGACTTTCAGTCCAGAGATGACCAATGACGCTGTATCTGAAGCACCTTTGCCTGGCTCCCATTAGGCAATAATCACTGCAAGAGCAAGCTCTGCCCGTCCTGTTCCTGGCACACAACAGATGCTTAATATATGTTAAATGAATCAGTGATGCATCTTCCCAACTTCTAGGAAAGGGTCCTGGCTCCTGATAGTCTTGGGGGAAGAGACAAATCAAGAGGGCAAGATAGAGCTCTGGGAAAGAAAGAGGGTATTCCTGTAGAGGAGAATACTCTGGGCAAAGGCTGGAAGAAGGAATAATTGCAGAAACAGATGCCAGCTCAGTTGTGGCATCTTCAAAAATACAGACCACAGCCCCCACAGTACCTGTCACCAAGCCCTTTGCTTTTCTTCATACCTCTCTATGCTTCCATATGCCCTACTTAGACCAAATGGGTGACTGGACTTTGGACAACCAAACCAAAATCAGGATTTCTAGGCCCATTTAGTGGTTATAGCTGAGCCCATCTGGATGTCAGCCAATTCTCCCTAAACTCAGCACGCCACTATTCCTCTGCTTCTAGAACTCCCTTCAGTCATGAGGGACCAAATTCTGGCTCAGTTAACCATCCAAATCAGAACCATGAGGTAAGGGCCCAGAATAGACATCTAATCTGGCCTAGGCATCAAAGAAAGCAGTCCTATTTGAAAGGTAAGTAGTTTTTTAGGACAACATAGGAATCTGTGGGTACATATGTGCTCCAGGAGCCCAGAGATCTAAAGAATTTCAGCAATGTGTCCAGAACACAAGGTGGGTCAGAGTAGGTTAGGGTAGAAAAGAGGAAAAGAGGATCTAGGGTGTGGTGACTCAGGTCCTCTTACTGATCTCTCTGAGTTGGAGACAGTCTGGTCTACATAGTGAGTTCCAGGCCAGCTGGGGGCTACAGGGAGACTCTGTCTCAAAAAGACGAAAAAAAAAAAAAAAAAAAAAAAAAAAAAAAAAAAAAAAGGAGAAAAAGAAAAAGAAAAGAGGATTCAGAAAACCAAGCTTGGTTGGCCTGGATCTCACAGAAATCTGACTGCCCCGGCTTCCAAGTGCTGGAATTAAAGGTGTGTACCACTACGCCCAGGCCCTTATTTATTTAAAACAAACAAAACAAAAAACACTTGTTTTATGTGTTTGAGTGTTTTGCTGCATGTATGTAAGTGCACCCATGCACACAATGCCTACAGAGGCCAGGAGGGCATTAGACCTCCTGGAACTGGAGTTAAGGATGGTTGTTAGCCATCTTGTGGGTGCTGGAATTGAACCCCATCCTCTACAAGAACAGCCAGTGCTCTTAACTGCTGAGCCATTTCTCTAGCCCCAAACGAAACTTTAAAAAACTGAGCAAGGACCTAGTTTGGTAGCACATGCCTTTAATCCCAGCACTATGGAAGCAGAGGCAAGTGGTTCTTTGTGAGTTCAAGGCCAGCCTGGTCTACATAGAGACTCTGTCTAGAAAAACCAGCAAATAACTCAGTCTGTGACTCATGGCTGGTCAAGGTTCTGAGTGGTTAGCCTTGAACAGGAAATTCATACTATCTCTCCAAGCCAGGAAGAGGAGAGGAGAAAGAATGTAAGAGTGGGACAATAGAGAGGAGGGACAAAAAATAATGTCTTATGGGCATTACATGGCTGTGACACTCATGAACTCACAACTGCTGCTGCAGTTGGCTTGCATAAGATGAGGAGTCTATGAACATTCAGTCACAGAGGAGGAGGAGCTCATGGATCCCCACATAACTCAAGGGAGTTCATGGCAGTCTGAGGGTTGTTAGGGGAGAAATCATTGTGATATAGCCACTGAGTGAGTGAGTTACTCATATTCCAATGGATGGCTTAGCTTAGCACCCATGCCCACACTAATGGCCATGGTTAAACATAGTGGGTCACAAAGCAAAAGCAAAGACATGGAAATGGGGTGGGAATTTGGTAGAAAGAGGGTAGGAGAGGATGGAGGGATGAGTGTATACAGAATGCTTTATATGTATTATGTGATTGTCAAAGAATCTATTTTTAAAATTCTAAGAAGGTACAAAAAACAACAAGAACAACAAAAAACATCCTCAACCTGTGTCGAGGGAGCCTGGAGGCACAAGTAGTTTTTGAGGGAACTTTGGAGCTGGCAGCGTCAAGGCATCCTCTGTCCTCTGTCCTAGTCATTGCCTGTAAAGGAGATGCACTTGTGCCAGCTCCCTGCTCCTCCTGATGGCCTCTGGATACAGAGCCTTCATGCCCTCTGGTGGTAATATGCAGAGATTATGTAAGGTCACAGAGACAGGAAACCTGGGGTGAACTGCAGAGCTTGGCTACTCTGGTGGTGGGAGAGTTCAGGACCCCTGAGATCAGAATCCTTAGCAGTGGGTTAGCTGGGTGATGCTGAGGGTGGGGAATGACTGGAATTCTCATGTTGAATCTTGTTCCATTGCAGGATCTTCTCTGCTCAAGAAGAGAAGGTGGAAGGCACTTGCTTGCCATTCTGTTTGCACAGGTCCAGACAGGACTCAAAGGGCCTTATATGCACTCTCTTGGGACATGGTTCCTTCTTCCTGAAGTGTGGTTTGGGACTTGTTTACTACTTCTCTCCAGTATCTATCTCCCATTCACTCGTTTGTTCATTCTTTTATTCACCATGTATGAATGCTTGAAGTGAGCAGAGTAGCAAGGATTGGGCTGGTGATACTCATCAGAATAGAAATCTCAGACTGCACAGGGGATTCCCTACTATAGAAGGAAGTGCCTTGAGAGGTGAAAATCCAGAGGAAGGGCTTGTGGGTGAGGGGGCTTGGAGAGGGGAGAAAGCCACAATTGAAAAAGGCCCTGTGGTTCAAAGGAGCTTATGATCTTTGGAATAAAAAACAAGTACTGCTGGGCGTGGTGGCGCACGCCTTTAATCCCAGCACTCAGGAGGCAGAGGCAGGTGGGTATCTGTGAGTTCAAGGCCAGCCTGGTCTACATAGTGAGTTCCAGGACAGCTGGGGCTACAGGGAGACCCTGTCTCAAAAAGACAAAAAACAAAAAAACAACAAAAAAATAACAAAAAAATAAGTACCAGGATGATTAATTAATTTATTCATTCCCAGGTCTTCACAGGCCCCCCCATACAGGCAAAGGGTAAGGAGTAGGGAAAAAAAAATCATATTTTATTTTTTGTCTTTTTGAGATAGGGTTTCCCTGTAGCCTCAGCTGGCCTGGAACTCACTATGTAGACCAGACTGGCCTTAAACTCACAGAGATCCACCTGCCTTCCGAGCCCTGGGACTAAAGGTGTATGCTACCACGCCTGGCTCATATTTTATTTTGTGTATGAGTGTATTGCTTCTGTGTGTGTAAGTGCACCTGCATCCTGAAATGCCCATGGAGGTCAGAAGAGGGAGATGGATTCCCCTGGAACTGGAGTTATGGACGGTTGTTAGCTGCCATGAGGGTGCTGGGAACTGAACCCAGGTCCTCTGCAAGAGCAGCCAGTGCTCTTAATTGATGAGCCCAATTTTTTTTTAACAACCCTTTATTTTTGTCCAGGTGTGGTGATGCATGCCTTTTATCCCAGTACTTGCAAAGCAGAGGCAGGCAGATCTCTGTGAGTTCAAAGCCAGCCTGGTTTACATAATGAGGCCAGCCTGGGCTACAAGGTGAGACCCTGTCTCAACAAAACAAAAGTACTTATGCTTAAGCTATGTGGCTCAAGGTAGCCTGCCTCAGCCTCCTGGGTGCTGGAGACTGCAAATCTATGCTCAGCTAATTCATTTGTTTGGCTTTGTTTATTATTTGAGACAGGGCCCTCTTATGTAGCCCTAGTTGTTCAGGAACTTGCTATGTAGACCACAGTGGCTTTGATCCGTTGCAGTGATCCTCCTGTCTCTGCTTTGTGAGTGCTGGGACTCCAGCACTTGAGAAATAGAGGCAAGATGATCCGACGTGGAGTTTGAAGCTAGTTTGGTATATGTCTTAAGAACAAAAACAACAGGGCAGGTGAGATAGCTCAGCGGGTAATGGCACTTGCTACATGAGTTGGATTCCCGGGACTCACAAAGTGAAGGGAGAGAACTATACAAACGCAAATAAATGTAGTTAAACGCCAATAGCAGCTCCGTGGAAAGGACAGGATTCTGATCAGTAGGAACTGGAGCCGTACAGACGCAGCCCAGGAAGTTTTCAAGGAACCAGGATGGGCAGACGCTGGGTAGAAAGGAGTGTCCTACCGGAAAGCCCGAACTGACGCAAACGCGCTCCCGAATGGGCGGGGAAAGGGGAGGAGCTTCAACCTGGCGGTTGTGCTGAGTTCTTGAACAAATATTTGACATTCCAGGCTTATCACCCCGGGCGGGGCTCTGGAGGCAGGCTATCGGTGGGCGCTCTCACTGGCCACCTTTCACTCCGTCCGGGTCTGTGTTCCTTAGCTACAAAGTGGGAAAATCTGAGGGGCGCACTACCCACTCTAGGTTCTCTCGCCCTGGCCCACACCCCCTCTCAGGGCATGAGGGGGGATGCGTCCAGGTTCTGGGCTGTCTTTTGTTCACAGGCCGAAATATAGCGGCCCGCACGCGCGCGCGCGCGCGCGCACACACACACACACACACACACCCCAACACACGAGGTTCCGCTCCATTCTGATTAAGTAGGCTTTGTTATCCTAGATCTTCAAGCCCTTGCCAGGCTGGAGCGCTTTCCTCCCGCCAAATTACTAGTTGCAGTTGCATAAACGGGAAAAATTCGGACCCTACAGGATGGCCTGGAAACAGTAAGGGTATCTCCCCAAATTCCGTGTGTGGGGACTAATGGAACTGAATTACAAACTGAATTGGGATGGAAACTCTGCACCCTGCACGCGGACGTACACATCTTAACGCTAAGGGTACCTGTCTGAAGTTCTAAGCCGGGACTGTCTGGCTCAACCTCGTCTACGATGCAGCTCTCTAGGGTTTGGGGAGGGGAAGGTTCCTCAAGGCCTGCGCCCGGCCGCCCACAGTGACTGTGCTTTGCACTGCAGGCACTTCGCCGACGCAGGCTAAGGCCGGCCCTAGCACCTGTATGGACAAGTCCTTCCCTGTGATCTCTAGTGACCGCCCACAGCTCTAAGAACCCTTGATCTTTGCCGCCCTCCGTTTCTCCCACCGGCTTTCAGGAGATACCTGGTAACTCTCACTGTCCGCCTTTGGCCCTGGGTGACTTCCATCAACCCCAAGCCGGACGTCGTGAGCCCCTACAGCCCCTAGATTGCCTCCTTGGTGACTTCCATAGGTCCAGTGTGACCCTCGCGTAGTGTTAAAGGCCGCCGATGCGGCACATTTTTTGACGGAGACCTCCAGGTGACGTCAGAAAAGGAGGTAGGAGGAAGAATGGGTTCGTTCCCTGCGTCCCGCAGGAACAGATTAGGAGGTGGGTTTACAGATCGCGAGGGCACGCCCAAACTGAAGCGAGTTTTCTCCTCTAGGGTAGGGTTCGGGCCCTCCCCCGAGGTTCCCGGGGCCGCCCTGATCACGTGGCTCACCGGGCCTCAGGTAACTTGCCAGAAAGGGGCGAGGCCCAGCCGCCCCGCCCCGCCCCGCAGGGCCCCGCGGGCGGGTCTCTGGAGCTCTCCCTGCGCCAGCCCCGCCGCAGGTGCCGCCCCCTACACACCGCGACCCGCCCTAGCTCCTCCGTCTGCGGTCGGTCTGTACGTGCGTGCGCCTCGTCGGTCCGCGTGCCTGTGGCCGAGCGCCCCCTTCCTCTGCGGCCATGACTCCGCCGCCGCCGCCGCCGCCCCCGCCCCCGCCCCCAGGCCCGGACCCCTCAGGAGACTCGGCCACTGACCCCTGCCCCGCACCCCAGTCGCTGGTCGTCCTGTTCGGGGCTACTGCTGGTGCGCTGGGGCCAGACCTAGGCTCGGACGAGACCGACCTAATCCTCCTGGTTTGGCAAGTGGTGGAGCCCCGCAGCCGACAGGTAGGGTGTGAAGGTGGTGGGGGTCCTAAGGAAGCCTCCCGGCCGGAGGGCACCACGACTGATCGGTCTCCCGCTGCGGCTCCCAGGTGGGGACGTTGCACAAGTCACTAGTTCGTGGCGAGGCGGCTGCGCTGAGTCCTCAGTGCCGCGAGGCGAGCGGCCTCAACGCCGACAGCCTGGCGCGGGCGGAGTCTCTGGACAAGGTGCTGCAGCAGGTGAGCACCGGGGCCGGCGTGGGTGGCTTACCTGCCGGGCGGCGGGGACTGTGCTCTGTCTCAGAGGAGACTGGAGGCGAGGCCTTGCGCGCGCGACCTATTGGCCCGGGCAGTAGGACGGGGTCTTTTTTGAAACTTGAGCGACTCCCGCGTGTGCGTGTGTGCGTACGCCGGCCATTCCCGCAGGCACTTTGCTTTCCAACCTTTACAGGCATGTACGCCTGCTGAGGGGGTGACGATGGCGGCTGAGGGAGCTATCCCTCATCTCCCCTACCCTCCACCCCGCTCCACCCCACGCCCGCCAAGGAGCCAGGCAGACGCTTCAGGAAATATGCCCCGGATCTAGAGGGGTCCGGGTTTGGCCATTAAATCACCGGCCCCTGCGGCTCGCGTACTCCGCCGGTCCGTCTGGGAGCGGCTGGAGCGGGGGCGTCGGGCGGTGTCTGCCTCTGGGGCAGACGCCGCCAGGTGTAAGCTGCTGGTCCAGGCCTGTCCCAGCCGACTGGCCAGGCGATGGTGCTGTCCGTACCCTTCCTGAGGGCTACCTGCCTGCTGAGCGCAAAGGCCGAGGGCATGCTCCCGACCCTGGCAAAGCGGGAGACAGTTCCCACTAGTATTTTCCTTGTCTTCACTGCTGCACTCAGTGTGACAGATCTGAGTGCAGGGAGTTAAGTGCTCTACAAGCACAGATTCTTTCCAACTCTAGACGCTGAATCTGAGTATGTTCCAGAAGGGCTCCAAGCCTAATTTAGCTCTCAACCTGAGGAAGGTACTAGAGAAAATCTAGGTGCCCTTCCTCTGTCCGCCTTAGGTTGAAAAGTATCACCGAATTGGCAGGAGCAGGGAAGCGGATAAGGGTTCGTGAGTCTGTGATTTTAGTACTTATACTGGTTCGCCAGCAGGGAATGGGGGGCTGTTGGGCAGCTTCCAGAGTGCCACCCCCTCTATGAACAAACTCAGTGCCAGCTGGTCGATAGGGTGTGGGTCAAAGCTCATGCTGCCCCTGGTGTCCAAGTATGAAGCTCTGTCCTTGGCGTTTCTCTGTCCCTGGGTTGGTCAGAGTAGGAGGCGGGGCTGCCTTTGACCAAGAGCCTTCTGGCCCTCCAGCAGGTGTGGGCCTCTCCCACCTATCTGAGGGCGGTGCCTAGCCAGGGACAGGTTTAACCTGCTTTGCCCCACCCCCTCCCACCTGCTTGCCTCACTTCACCAGGTGTTTGCTCTGGACTCACTCCAGACTCCAGGAGTATGTGTGATGGGGGTTTGGGTTAGGTGTGACTACTTTCATTTGGCCTGCTGGAGGTAACAGTGGCCTGGGACGCGGTGGGGGATTAAGAGGCTGGGATATAAGGCAATACCCAATGGGCATGGCCTTCTACTTCCCAGGCAGGGTAGGGTTGAACATCCAGCTGAACCAGCTTTGCAGCTGAGTCCTCCCTCCTACCCCCAGTTTCGGCCTGCCTAGCTGTGAATCAATGTCTGAGTCCCCACTCCCTGCCCCCAGTTCTCACAGCTGGTGAGCGGGGATGTGGCTCTGCTGGGCGGGGGCCCCTATATGCTCTGCACTGATGGACAGCAGCTGTTACGACAGGTTCTGCACCCTGAGGCTTCCAGGAAGGTATGCCATTGAGGTCACATGGGTGGTTTGGTTCCCAAGGGCCCTGCTGTTGAAGGGATGGACAGGACACATCAGTTCTCCCATTCATCCCCACTCCTATGTGCCCCCAGAACCTGGTGCTCCCTGACACTTTCTTCTCCTTCTACGACCTCCGAAGAGAGTTCCATATGCAGCACCCAAGCACCTGCTCCGCCAGGGACCTCACAGTGGCCACCATGGCACAGGGTATCTGTGACCCAGCAGACTTAAGGTGGAAAGGGGGCTGGTTTGTCTGAGCATGTGCATGCTGTGGTTGTATGTAGGCAAGTTTGTGTTATTGGCATGAGGACCCATGAGGGTATCCATGTCTCATATCTATGCATGGATGCATGTGGAATGTGGGCATACATCTGTTTGGAGGACCTGGGTCCTAGTTAATATTGTTGGGGCTCATGCTCAGAGCCTTAGGGCTTTTTATGCTGGGATTTCTTCATTGCTATTTCTCTGCCATAGACTTGGGATTAGAGACAGATGCCACAGAGGATGACTTTGGGGTCTGGGAAGTGAAGACAATGGTAGCTGTTATCCTCCACCTACTTGAAGGGCCCAATGGTAAGATTCCCTCACTGCCTGTCACTGGCTTTCAGGGCTGGGTGAATGCCCATGACTTCCTCTAAATCATTTTGCAGACTTGTGAACTTCTCTAAGAGAACACAAGATGGAAACCCCTTTATCGCCTCCTCAATCCCCTCACCTGTCCTATTTTGCAGAGCTTGGTGGGGAGACCCCCTCCACCAGACCCTGCTGACCCCCATGCCATCTCCTCTCAGGTCAGTTGTTTTCGAAGCCCGAGGTGGTAAAGCAGAAATATGAGACGGGTCCTTGGTGAGTGTGGGAGAATGGGTGGGGGTGACAATATTTGGACAGCTCTGACCCTGTGCCCTGCCCCCACAGCAGCAAGGCTGATGTGGTGGACAGTGAGACTGTGGTACGAGCCCGTGGGTTGCCCTGGCAGTCATCAGACCAGGACGTAGCTCGCTTCTTCAAAGGGCTCAACATTGCCAGGTGGGTGTAGCAGGTTGGGAGGGGCTAGAGGGCAAGCTACCCAGGAGGCACTAACGGCACTGGCTCCACAGGGGTGGTGTAGCACTCTGCCTCAATGCCCAGGGCCGCAGAAATGGTGAGGCCCTCATCCGTTTTGTGGACAGCGAACAGCGGGACCTAGCACTGCAGAGACACAAGCACCATATGGGCATCCGCTATATTGAGGTGGGGCCTTGGGCTAGAAGTGGAGCAGGGCAAAGCTAAGTTAGACCTGAGACCCATGGGCTATTCTCTCTATACTCACAGGTATATAAAGCCACAGGGGAGGAGTTTGTAAAGATTGCAGGGGGTGAGTGCCCACAGCAGGCCCTAGTTCTCTTGCTTCTTGACTTGTATCCCATTCTCTGCCACTTGTGATGCCTCTTTGCTCCCATGTGGGTGGGTGTTTGGATGTACAAGAAAGTCAGCAAGCGACTCCCATTCTCCCAACCTAGGCACATCACTAGAGGTGGCCCGCTTTCTGTCACGGGAAGATCAAGTGATCCTGAGGCTACGGGGATTGCCCTTCTCAGCCGGGCCAACAGATGTTCTCAGCTTTCTGGGGCCAGAATGCCCAGTGACTGGGGGTGCTGATGGGCTGCTCTTTGTGCGCCACCCTGATGGCAGGCCAACTGGGGATGCCTTTGCTCTCTTTGCCTGTGAGGAACTGGCACAGGCTGCTCTGCGCAGGCACAAGGGCATGCTGGGTAAGCGGTACATTGAACTCTTCCGGAGCACTGCAGCTGAGGTGCAGCAGGTGAGTACCCAAGACTCCCCATGCCCCAATATGCTGCTTCCTCAGGATGTACCTTGGGTCCTCTGTGCCCCTGCCCTACTTAAGTGTTATAAGCTTGTTGCCTTTCTTACTAGGTCCTAAACCGCTATGCATCCAGCCCACTCCTTCCCACACTGACGGCTCCACTGCTGCCCATCCCCTTCCCACTGGCAGGAGGGACTGGGAGGGACTGTGTACGCCTTCGAGGCCTGCCCTACACAGCCACCATTGAAGACATCCTGAGCTTTCTAGGGGAGGCAGCAGCTGACATCAGGCCTCATGGTGTGCACATGGTTCTCAATCAGCAGGTAAGACTGCTGGCTGGGAAGGGAACATACAGAGTAGAAAAGAATGTTTAAGGAGTAAAGGCACATTTTTGGGGGGAGTCTTTTTGAGACAGGGTCTCTCTGTAGCTCCAGCTGGCTTGGAACTCACTATGTAGACCAGGCTGGCCTTGAACTCACAGAGATCCACCTGCCTCTGCTTCCTGAGTGCTGGGATTAAAGGCGTGTGTCACCATACCCAGCTAAGGAGTAAAGGCACTTTTATTTGTGACAAACTGCTAACAAGATGGTGTGCATAGGGCCGACCATCTGGTGATGCCTTCATCCAAATGACGTCAGCAGAGCGTGCACTGGTGGCTGCTCAGCGTTGCCACAAGAAAATGATGAAGGAGCGCTACATAGAAGTGGTCCCTTGCTCCACAGAAGAGATGAGCCGTGTGCTGATGGGGGGTACCCTGAGTCGCAGTGGCATGTCCCCTCCACCCTGCAAACTGCCTTGTGAGTGCTCTAGAGGATAGAGAGAGCATGTAGGAGCAATGTAGTGGCTGCTCTAAGCCATTACTTCCCATTCTAGGGGCTCCATCCTAGCTTATTGAGGGAAGTTGGGGGCTCCCTAAAGATGTGCTACTTGTCTCTAGGCCTTTCACCACCTACCTACGCCACCTTCCAGGCCACCCCAGCCCTCATTCCCACGGAGACGACAGCACTCTATCCCTCTTCAGCACTGCTTCCAGCTGCCAGGGTGTCTGCTGCCCCTACCCCTATTGCCTATTACCCAGGGCCAGCCACTCAACTCTATATGAACTACACAGCCTACTACCCCAGGTACCTTGCTATTAGAACAACTCCACAGACCTGCTGTCACCATTTGGGGAAGGGTTCTGATCCATTTCTGGGCCAGATAACTCAGAGTCTGTTGGAAATCAGACTTCATTCTGAGATAGCAAGAGAGTAACAGGTGTGGGCTGACTGATGCCATCCACAAAATAGATTGGAGGCAGGAAATTTAAGAAGGTAGAAGGACTAAACACAAGGTACAGGGGGAGGACAAGTCTTGAACAAGACCACAGGTAGGATACAGATCTAAACTCCTGTCTCTCCCATCCTAGCCCCCCAGTCTCCCCGACTACTTTGGGCTACCTTACCACACCTCCTACTGCCTTGGCCTCTACTCCCACCTCAATGTTGTCCCAGCCAGGAGCCCTGGTCCGCATGCAGGGGGTCCCATACACAGCTGGCATGAAGGATCTACTCAGTGTCTTCCAAGCCTACCAGGTAAGATGGTGTGGTAGGAGAGCCTGAGGGCCTAGAGCTCCATTCCCTAAATCTATCTCCCTTCTGCAGCTGGCACCTGATGACTACACCACTCTGATGCCTGTTGGTGACCCACCTCGTACTGTGTTACAAACCCCCAAGGAGTGGGTATGTTTGTAAGAGAGAAAGTAAGACTGAGTTGATATCCTCAGCTAACATGCCTTTCCTGCGTCCAGAGCAACCTGGCATCTGCAAAACATCAAGCTCAGAGCTCCCATCTACCCCCTGCCCCCCCAATCTCTCTGCCTGTTCACCCTGAAGATGACTGCTACCCTACCGGCAGGACTGGGGGTATACTGGAACAGCTCTACTCTTGATGGTGTGATTGGCCTCGAACAGCACCTGGAAAGCCTTTGGTCTGTCCTGGCTTTCAGATACAGGGTACACAAGAGGCTTGTGCTTCTCCTGTGAGAATCAAGAGTCTATCTGAGCCTGAGTATAAACCCCAATTCTCTGCTCTCCCTACCCCTCTTGTGGGAGGAAGGCAGAGTCAGCTCCCACCCTCAGGATGCATGCCTGGACCTCAGAAACCATGTGCTAAGGACGTAGCCTCACCTAAGTTTGCTAACCCCTCTCCAGCCAGGCCTGAGGAACTTCAGATGACAAAACCACTGGCTGGCCAGATACGATGGTACACACCTGTAATCTCAGCACTCAGGTGACAGATGCAAGAGGAGTGCCTCAACTCCAACCTGGTCTACATAGCAAGTTTCAGTTCATCCAACCATGTCACAAACAATAAAAAAACGATAGCTGGGTGTGGTGACACATGCCTTTAATCCTAGCATTCCAGAGGCAGAGAGAGAGGCAGGCAGACCTCTGAGTTCCAGGCCAGCCAGTGCTACATAGTGAGACCCTGCCTCAAAAAACCAAAACCAAATCCCAAGCTACATTGGATTGTGCTGCTGAAATATCTCCAGAGAACACTAGAGGGCAAACATCCCACGTGGAAACTCAGGTTTGAATCTGAAAGGAGACTTTGTCAACTTTTTCTTGTAATACCTTGGGAAGACCTGTTGTCCAGAACCCAAGCTTTTGCACCCAGTAAAGGGCACAGAACTGAAGTCTTAGAAGGAACTTTTTAAACTCTTCTCTGTAAAGTGAACAAAGTCCCTGATGAAATGGACTTTTTAAAAGCCAATGAGTCTTGCAGGTTGGCCTAAAGGGCTCCAGACCAGCCCCAGATGGAGAAAACCCAGACAGATTTCAAGGACACTGGCAATCTGTCACCTTTTATTATTTCAGCACTGTGAGGAGCAGTCTGAACTGCTGGCTCTTCCCTTTCTATTTCTGTAAGGAGCACTGCACTCCTATAAAAGGTTTTAAAATACAAAATACAAGAAAACACAATCTCAAGTGTGTAAACATAACTGAGAGCCAATTTCTTTACCTAAACATTCATTCTATAAAACACAAGGTTTCAACATGAGCCCACCTGAGCCTTAAAGATGACCGTTGTGTTCTGCATTTCACAAATACGGTTTCCAAGCCAGGCTCAGTAGAGGTCTGGTGATACTGGCTACCCCTGGGTGGGGATGGATTATACCCAGGGCAAGAGCACGACATGTGACCCCAAAGATACCTTTTCTTTTTCATGTTTTCAGCCATGTTTCTCTGCATTTTGGTAAACAGAAGGCTGCTCATTCCATTCCTTAACCCAAGGTCTAGCACAGGTATGAGAGGAAAGGGTATGTGCTAGCAAATGCCCAGTTGCTCAGTGCTGCTACTAGAAATCAATTTGCATAGTACAATGGAAGTGTGCTTCACCACCACTATTTTGCACAAAAATGTCTTTATCTACAAAGCCAAAATATTGACTTACATGAATGCTTATACAAAGCTAATATAAAACTGCTTACGTAGTATACAAAGTTCTATTTTAAAATTTAACTTGTTTTAAATAAGAAAGCATTTCTAATGCTACAGGCATCAAGGTACTTAAAAGGCATCAAAATTTGGTGCATAGCAACTCTGGATCATAAAGGCTTTTATTCTTGAAGGCAGCAAAGCAGCCCCCTCCCCGCCAAGGGTCTTGCAATGACTCCACATGAGGCAAGAGGATGGAAACAAGTTTGGCCAAGTCTCTTGAAGTTCACCGAGGCCAAGCCCCTTCAAAGGAGGCTATAAGCTTCCAACCATTAGGCATAAAGCAAACCTCATTATCCACACTCACTTTCACTACATAAAACTCACTTTCAAACTTTGAAAACATTCAGCTCTAAGAGTGGCCAAAGCAATTTACTAAAGGATAGACTGTTCTCTAACTAGTTTTAGGGGAGGAATTTAAAGCATTATGTTAGGAACAAAAACACATACTTCCCTCATCCCGAATCAATACTCCCTATTCTGATGACTAGAGGTGATGGGCAACAGGCTAGCCTCTGCTCAGGCTTAATGTAGCCTTAGTAAAGAGTCCTAGCATTGAGGGCCCACAATCCCCTAGAAATAACAGCATTAAGTCCTCAGGGCAGCACAATATCTTACAAGTAGGCACTCAAAAAATTTATTTCCAGAATAAATGAAAGTATGTTATTTCCTTTGAAAACATATTGTAAGATCTAGGGAGATTAAAAAAGGCCCAGAAATAGGAAAATCTTATTGAAGGGATGGGTAAAGGCAAAGTCTGGGAACAGTACCCAAATTGGGCACCTCCTTTGGTAGACAGCAGGCTGGAGTTTCTGCTGGTCCCTGCCTTGGACACTAGTCTCACCAGCAGCAGCACCAGGGTGTCTTTGGTGTGGAAGGTCAGGTATATGACACCACCTCATTTTTAAATGTGCCTCAAAGCCTTTCGGAGAAAAGGCTAGTTTTTAGGTAATACAGACAGGACATGATGGGACAGAATCACTTCAGGCTGTAAACAGAATGGGAGTTAAGTCTTCCATGCCAATGTGAATCTTAAAGCCTTCCCATCTGCAGTCCTGCATTTTTTTCTGCCTCTCCTGTTACACAGTTCATTCATACTTAGCTCCTAACACTGCTGGCCTGGCCTCAAGAGAAGAGTTAGAACTGCAAAGTCTGAACCATCAGGAAACTGGCTTTAAAAGGCTGGCCACTTGGAAAAGGTGGCCAGGGAGGATACAAATGGAAAGAGTATTCCATAGCCTACTAGATTTTAGTTAGGTAGAAAAGGATAGCTACCCAAGCTATAACCCTACCATTCAAAGTCACCTTACAAATCATCTTATCCAAGGTCCTGAGGGAAGGAAACAGTTTCAACATGGAGCTAGTACGGAGAGACTGCAGAATGACTACCTAGAAAGTTACAAAAAGGCTATGCTCTGGAATGTATTCAAATTCCAACACTTCAGTGATGGAATGGTCTCTTCTCAATTTACCTAAAAGTTTACTTTTTATAAAGAGTATGAGCTACATTTGGCTTTCTTTCCTATGAATCTATGAAAGGCTTCAAGATGCATGCTGAGTTTCTGAGACCTAAGTGTGGGCTTAGGATGTTTCTTTTTTTTCCTTTTTTGTCTGCCTCTGGAAGGGTTCATCAAAAGTTCATATTTTAAAAATACATTAAAACTAAAGGCTCTTCAAATGACCAGAAAGCAGTACAAATTATTAATTCTAGTTATGCAACCAGGTCACCTATAAAAGCAGTACCTCTGAAATAGAGAGCCTGCTGCATTCATACTCAAAGCACCCATCATATAAAAGTATCCTATTTAAATATTTTTTTTAAATGCAAAACTCATTTTCCCACAGCTCAAACAGCCTATACTGTTCTGTTTTTTTTTTTGTTGTTGTTGTTGTTGTTTTACAAAATCTGTCCAATGCCTGAGGTGGAGGAATGCTGCTTTTCCCAAAAACGGTGTGTGTCCAACTCCTGCAACAGGTTCTGAAGATTTGGAAATCCAAGGTCCAAGAGAGAAATAGGCTGAGTAGTTGGTGGTGGGCACAAGGCTCCAGTGAGCACTGTTACAGCTCATCAGATCTTCCTAAATCCGGAGGCTCAGGATCTGGGAGAGGAACCTCTCTGCTCACCTCAGGGCCTTGGGAAACAGAAATCTGGGACATATCTCTCCCAATTATCTCGTTCACTGAAAAAGAAAAAAAGGAAGAGTGATGAGTGACCTTTGAGGGACAGCAGATGAGGCTTTCACTAAGCTCTCCCTCAGTCATTTCCCTTCCCAGAGTTTGTTAAAGGTAAAGACAATACTTGAAGCTTGCTCCAGAGCTGAATGACTTTAAAGACAGAAACATCATTCCTCAGGTGGCTTCAGGAAAGGAAATGGCTGAGAACAGGAAACATTTTTATCTTCACTCAAGAGGCTCATGTTCTAAGCAGAGCTGACAGGCTACATTTTTTTTTTTTTTTTTTTTTTTTTTTTGTCTTTTTGAGACAGGGTCTCCCTTAGCCCCACCTGTCCTGGAACTCACTATGTAAGATTGGGCTGAACTCACAGAGATCTGCCTGCCTCTGCCTCCCGAGTGCTGGGACTAAATGCATGTGCCACCATGCCCGGCTTGATAGGCTACTTTTTTTTTGTCTTTTTGAGACAGGGTCTCCTTGTAGCCCCAGCTGTCCTGGAACTCACTATGTAGACCAGGCTGGCCTTGAACTCACAAAGATCTGCCTGCCTCTGCCTCCCAAGTGCTGGGATTAAAGGCATGTGCCACCACACCTGACCATAGGCTACTTTAAAAATAAATGTTTACCTTAATCTAATCTTCCCAATTTGAATTCCTTTGAGAAAACTTTCCTTTTCTGTTTCCCACAGTACCACCTAAGCATATTAGGGGATATTTTGGGATACTTTGTTGTCTTAATATAAGTAACCTTTTTTATGTGGGAACATTTGTATAGTTGTGGTCTTTTCTAATTACAGGCTCTTGCTTTCTGTTGGTTTCTCCAATGTGCCAAGTATTTTCAGCTTAAAGAAAAAAATAAAGCTGGGTGTGGTGGCTCTCACCTGTAATTTCTGTCAGTCAGGAAATTGAGGCAGGAGCCTGAAGCCCACCTGGGCCTAGACTACAGTAAGCACCAAGTCAACATGGGCTACAGAATGACTCTGTTGTCGCCCCCCCCCAACAAAAACAAAAAGAATCAATAAAGAAGAGAAAGAATATTCTAAATTCTCCAAAAGAGCCTTTAGTGCTCATACCATTTAGTTCATATTTTGCTTTTCCTTGGTGTGTGTGTGGGGTTGTTTAGTGTTTTATGAGACATGGTCTTGTGAATAACCCTACACTGGCCTAAACTGGGGATCCTCCTGTCCCAGCCTCCAGACTGCTTATAGGTATCTACTACCATACCCAGTCTTTCTTGCTTTTCAACTAAGATTCCATTCCTACAGATGTACACAGGAGAATTAAAAAAACATGTATATGTTCAGGGACTGGAGAGATGGCTCAGTGGTTAAGAATGTTGCTACTTTTCCTGAGGACCCTAGTTTGATCTCCAGCACCCACATCAGGCAGCTTACAATTGCCTATAACTCCTGCTCCAGGAGTTAGATCACAATGACAATTTTTTTGTTTTGTTTTTTGAGACAGGGTCGCCCTATAGCCCCAGCTAGCCTAAAACTTGCTATACAGACCAGGTTCAATCTCACAGTGATCCACCAGCCTCTGTCTCCCAAATGCTGGGATTAAAGGTGAGTACCACCATGCCACTTATTATTATTACTTTATTGTTTTAAGACAGGGTTTCACTAAGTAGCCCTGGCTGGCCTGGAACTTGACATATCAAGTTGATCATGTTGGCCTCAAACTCAGAGAGATCCATATGCCTCAGCCCCAAAGGCATGTGCCAATGCGTCTAGCCATTTCCCTCTTTTAAAAGAGGCCGGGTGTGGTGGCGCACGCCTTTAATCCCAGCACTTGGGAGGCAGATCTCTGTGAGTTCAAGGCCAGCCTGGTCTACACAGTGAGTTCCAGGACAGCTGGGGCTACAGGGAGACCCTGTCTCAAAAAGACCAAAAAAAAAGAGTAAAGTAGCGCTAGAGAGCTAGCTCAGTAGTTAAGAACATATACTGTGGGGCTAGAGAAATGGCTCAGTGGTTAAGAGGACAGGCTGCTTTTCCAGAGGACCTGGGTTTGGTTCCCAGTACTCAAATGGTGCCTACTGACCATCTATAACTCCAGTTCCAGGAGATCTAATGTCCTTTTCTGGCCTCTGTGGGTTTGCACATACATAAAATAAAAATAAGATTTACAGAGGACCTGGGTTTGGTTCCCAGCACCCGTAACAGCACTTAACAACTATCTGTAACTCCAGTTGCAGGGGATCCAACATTCTCTTATGGCCTCCACAGGCATTGCACGATACAAGTGCACTTATATACATGCAGGCAATACACTCATACACATAAAAAATAAATAAAATCTTTTTTAAAAAAGAGTAAAGTATCTGGGCGTGGTAGCACATGCCTTCAATCCCAGCACTCAGGAGGCAGAAGCAGGTGGATCTCTATGAGTTTGAGGGCAGACTGGTCTCCATAGCAAATCCAGGCCAGCTAGGGCTACAGGGAGACTGTCTCAAAAAAGACAAGAAAAAAAAAAAACCAAAAAAACAAAAAAAACAAACAACAACAAAAAAACAGTAAAGTGAACAGAACAGCATCAAAAAAAAAAGAGTAAAGTGAATTAAAGCCTAAAATAAGAGTGAACACCCCTCAATACCAGTGCTAACAGGCTATGTAGGTCATAGCACTTAGCCCACCTTTGGTAGCCACCATCCTTCCCTGCCTCAACACCTGAATCTGTCTATATCACCACAACAAAAGTAGAGTGAGAACCATCACAGTAATTACTGATTTAAACAACAACAACAACAAACCCTCTTTAGGAAATGTCCAAATAAGCCATGCACTATAATGCTAGTCTTATACAAAAAAAAATAAGTGTTGGGGCTGGAGAGATGGCTCAGTGGTTAAGAGCACTGACTGCCCTCCAAAGGACATAGGCTCAATTCCCAGCACCCACATGGCGGCTACGAATAGTCCTTAACTTCAGTTCCAGGGGAATCCAAAGCCCTCTTCTGACCTCCGCGGCACTGCACAACATGGGTGCACTCACATACATGCAGGCAATACACTCATACACATAAAATAAAAAATAAATAAAATTTTATGTGTTTGAGTATATTGCCTGCATGTACATAAGGGTACCATGTGTGGAGTGCCTACGGAGGTCAGAAGAGAATGTCAGATCTCCTGGAATTGGAGTTACAGGTGGCTGTTAACCACCATGTGGGTGCTGGGAACCAAACCCAAGTCCTCTGGAAGAGTAGCAAGTACTCTTAATCTTTAAATCTCTCCAGCTCCCTTTGTAACATTTTTATAATTGATCTGGGTCCTATTTAGACTCTATATGTTTTTTTCTTCTTGAAGTCACAATGAAGAGTCACCAGAGTTCATCTTTTCTCCTTCCCAAACTCCACAATTAAAGGTGCAATTCATTGTCTGGGTAATGAATTTTATGGAGTTTTTTTTCATAAAACGAAATATATGTGTGTGTATGTATATATGCATGTAGGCAATATATATAGGTTATGTATGTGTGTGTGTGTGTGTGTGTGTGTGTGTGTGTGTGTGTGTGCGTGCGTGCGTGCGTCAGTCTCTGAATTTCACTTGAAGAAACAAGAGAAATTTAGAAATAAAGGAATAGCCGGGCATGGCAATGCATGCCTTTAGTCCCAGCACTCGGGAGAGAGAAGCAGGGGACTGTGAGTTCAAGGGCAGCCTGATCTACATAGTGAGTTCCAGGCCAACTGGGGCTACAGGGAGACCCTGTCTCAAAAAAAAGAAAGAAAAAAAGTGTTCTTTTTTTTTTTTTTTTGGTCTTTTTTGAGACAGGGTCTCCGACATTTGATCAGTGAAACAATTTTTTCCAGATTTTAAGATAAATTACAAAGGTCAGAACAGTTTAAACTGCCCAGAGTATCAGAAAATATATTTCAGA